GGTTTTTGTTTTTGCTCCTTATTTGTGATTATTAAAATATGAGAAAGAAGTAATCTTCACGAAATAAAAGAATTAAGAACAAAAGCAATATTTAAGAACACTAAAGAGCCCAATTTCCTTAAAACAGATATGCCTATGAAACAGCAATTATCCAGTACTATCTGCGCACAGATTAGCTACAGTTGGTCGCCTTAAAACACACTAATAGCGCTCTCTGGCCGCCAATCCAAAATGGTCGTTTGTTGACTTTTTTCAATAATTTTTCTTTTTATTTACTAACGCCTGTCTAGCTCATACTAAGATGTGGGAAACCAACGTATGTTTTTATTCGTTTCGTACATTTCTCGCAAACGCATGTTTATAATTTGAATATGAAGGCGTGTTTGAGACTGAGTAATTTAATTGCTTTCAGGCCCCCTCATTAAATTATTCTCATATGACTGTGAATCGAGGTGGATTTCAGGCCCGCTCATTAAATTTAAACATATAATTACAATCAAGTACAATCAAGTAAACAAATAAGAGTATGCTTCCTACTTTTCCATGAAATGAAGTTTTAAGAAGTATAAACAACGGACTGCAGCCAGGAATAATGTGGACAAGCCTCGTCAATATGTTGCTTGGCTTTGTTTCAATAAAAATTCATATTGTGTGGAAGGAGGAAGGGTAACACAGTAGAACCTAAAAATGCTTTGCAACTATTACATTTTTCATTTATTATTATTACGTCCGCCCTTGAATTTAGTTAAATGCAAAGCTAGTGAAGAAAAGTGGAAGTTGTTAATAACGTAATGAAATATCTAGGTTTTTATAAATACCGTAATGAAGCCAAATTAAGTAAAGACAATAAGAAAAGCTGTTCACGAAAGCAATTCTGTAGGATGCTACTTCAAAATCTATTAAATACATGTTTTTTAACCAAAGGTGAAACAGGGACAAGCGGGGAATAATTAGTTACTCTTCATAAGTACAAAAACTGAGATTACATTTCTACAAGAAGCAGACAATTTTGCTACGTTGAGATCCATGTCGGTTAAGGTGGTTCTCAAAAAAATAACTTATTATTCCGAAATACCATTACTAAATGATTTTTCTCGGAAATTTTCAAAACCATAAAAGTTTTTCTTTGAAGAACTTTTTCAAAGGAAAGTGTTCTGTGAGAACGTGCTATGAAAGTGGGCTAGAGCACCAAATTTCATCAGAAGATATAAAAAATTTGCGACCTGGTAGTTGGACTGGAGTAAATGCATGTATACCATAAAATAGTGAGTAATAAAAACCAATATAAATAGTAATTAGTAAAAAACAATAATACTAAGAACTAAAACTGACTGAACTTCAGCTTGAAAAAGCGGAAAAAAGCTCAAGTCTGCTGAAACTCCTTCTTTAGAAGGATTAAACGTGTGAATCGGTTACAATGGCCATCCAGTAATAGCTCCATTTTCTTTTACATAGTTCAGCAAAGAGAGTAGTAATTAAAAACTGTTGTTATTCATTTTGTGAGAGGCTATCTTTGGAGATGCTACCATTGAAGAAATTCCCAAAAACTCCAACTGCGTGGGCCATTACGATAAGAAACCATACTAAAAGTATGAACTCTAAAGACTATCCCCTAGCAAGGAACAAAATAGTAAAAATTCTGCCACTTTTAATCTCTAGTTAGCTTGCACCCTTTGTGGTGACGAGTGAAAGCTACACTCCCCGATAACTAGAGTATCTTAACCTTAATTAGGGTAAAAACCGGCAAAAAGGTTATATGTTCATATGTATTGTAAGTTGTGTCTCTTTTGTCGTTCACAGAAATTTACTTTCAAATTTTCTAATTTCTTCACTTTACTGATACTCATACGTGAATTTCTATCTAAAGGGCATGCATACCATATACGCTTGTATCTACATATTATGTGCCTAATCTTTCTACGTTCATCTGGTTGGCACGCATATTAAAAAAACGGGGCTGCGCTAAATACCATAAATGCGGAACAAACAACTAAAAAGATAAACAAGTTTTACTGATGTAGTGCTGTCAAGTTCGTATTTCTCCAACTTAACAAATGCTTATTATGAACAAGAGCTGGACTTGATGCAGCGTACACAAGTCACTCCGCTATCAGCAGGTCGTGGAACTTGGACGAAAAGAGTTGTATTATAGTCGTTGTTATTAATACAATTCGGTTTCATTTTATGCTTTTGGTTACTGCAATTCGGGTTGAGAACAACAAAGAGTAAATGTTATAAAGGCGGAGAGTTTAAGATCGGCCCACAACAGTCCCAATGCGACGCTGTTTATATGGCCATTCAGAGAGGTTGGATTTCTTTACCGTACATATGCTCCCATACTTTTACTTATAGATAAAAATCGCCCAGTTTTCCCAAATGGTGTCAGCCCAGGCAGATGTACATACAATAGAGCCAAAACTATTGTTGAATACATTAGAACTATCGTTTCAACTTCTATCAAGAGCGTAGCCCAATGTTATCTTTGTAATTCTCTTCTTCCAGCGGTTCGCCTTTCCAACATTTTTATTTTTCTATTCGCCGGCGTTTTATTATTACATTATTATTACATTATATTAGAATACATTATATTATTTTTAATACTAAGATATAGATCTAACATTTTTGGCTCAATATTATACTATTGTTACATTTTCTTCTTCTATAGTTATATTAACCTTTTTTTAAATTGTTTTGATATTTGCCTATTATGAATTTGACGGTTTATGTTATCGTAATGAAACCTATCGCGTGGCTCTAACATTATGGATCCAATATCTGAGTAGTCGAACTTTGGCGCAATGAGACTGCTAGTTTAAAGCGGTAATTTATGCCGACCTCTGCTTTTGGAGTTTGCAAATGCTGATTTGCTTGCTTGTTTTTATTTTCCTCTTCCGGGTTTACTGCTCTAAGAATCTCACAGCCGTGACAACTGTTTTTGTTCTTCTCTTCTTCATGTCCGTGCATTGCCTTTGGACATCTTCTGGTATTTTCCCCACATTGTTTTTGCTTCCCGCATTGTTTATTTTGGTGTTCACTTCAGATCTGCTGTTGCGGCCACTCTTTCAACTACACTTCACAGAAATGCGAGCATAGCGGCGTGGCATCTGTCGTCTTTCATTTGTTGTATTTGCGTCTGTTCTTTCTTTTAGTTTTTCGGAAAGTGTTTTTTGACTTCATTCATATTCTCAAACTGTTGCTTTATAGTTTTCGACAAAATTAATTTTATTGATTTCCTTTTTATATAAATTATGTTTATGCTTTCCTCCATTAATCTTCTTTTCCTTCTGTTCAACAAACCGCTGATGTTTAGAAGCGCGCAAAGTAAACGCGAAGATCTTTATTTGAGTCTTATTAAAGTTGGTTACTTTTAGTATATGTATATTACTATTTCTTTATTTTATGATTTCTTTGCGCTTCATAATTAAACCGAATGAATTCACTTTTCACTTATTTTTACTGACAGATCAAAGGTCGATGTCGACCGCAACTGTCTTTGCAAATATTAGCAAGGAAGCTTATTTCTCAAATCCCCCATCCAGCACTATTTATACGGCTGAATGGGGAAAGAAATTTCCTACAGAGTGAGAAGGCAAGTCTGTTTTATCCACTTTGCTAACGTCTCTTTCATGTAACGTTGATCGTTATATATTAGAGATCGGATCTTTACAGCCTCAAATCCGATGGATCTTGTTTTCACTGCAACACCGCTGCAGATAAAATTGCATCTTCTTAACCATCACATTTTAAAGATCGTGCTCTAATTCTTGCTGGCTTGAGGACAATTGACAAGAAACACTCAATTTTTTGTTGGCAGCAGCGATGAAATAATTCATCTTGTACTTTCTATTTCCACAAATCACACGGAATGTAGTGAGCATATTTTCAAAATTAACATGAAAAGTCCTTTATATGAATGCATTTGCTTTGCTGCCGCTTCTATTCGATATTCTGTACTTCGCAAATTGTTAATAAGTGGTCTTCGTGACCGCGGCATTGTGGGCATTTTGCCTTCTTAGAACTTAGAAGCTCAATCCGCAATATTTTCTTTTTCTAACTACTGTATTCAAGGTATGTAGACGTTTACAGACAAATTATGGGAACCTTCTCCCTTTCACAGTCTGTTTACTCACGCATTTATCTTTTCTACATATGTCATTTTATCCTCATACATTACTTCTTACGCAATGACATTTACTCCATGCTGTTCTATTCTACACAGCGGGCGAGTAGTATGTCTACCTCCGTCATTTCAAATATAATTCTTCCAAAATCTTCAAAACAAATCCCCCAATACAAACAAGGAATGATTTCCACAATTTAAGTCCTTTTTTCGTTTTTCATAGGCGTGAATTGTTAGTAGTTCTTTTCGTCTTCTTAAGCTGACTAACTGTTTTTGCCAAATTGCATGCCAAGCTGCAGTTAGGGTTGCCAAATGTGATTCTCTATTCAACAAAAAGTTTTTTTTGGAATCAATTTAAGAATTAACTGGTGAAAGTAGACATAAGCGATGAAAGCCTTAGGGGTATAAGAAAATGATACCTTATTCCTATCTTGTGCATGTAACTTCATCTTTGCCGTCTTTTTAAGAAACTTTCCGGTAATTGGTAAATCACATCTGAACTTATTTATTTATTAGCATGAAGTCGAGAAATCATTATATTCATCTCCATAATCTTATTTAATTTTGTGACATACTCGGAAGTTTGTTTTTATATTAATTGCTCCATAACTTGAAAATTACTATTTAACTAATGTTTGACCTCGAGATATCTTAAAAGATTATTTTTGCGAAGCTGCTATAATTCAATTCAATAAAATATAAATAGAATTTAATATATATGTAATTAATTTTGTGAATAACGCTCTGAAGTTATTCAACTCGCTAACGCCTAATATCAAGATTATTGTTAGTGCATAAAGTTTCAGAAAAGCAATCAGGAATTTCATAGTCCTTAGTGTAATGAATAATTATGTAATTATCCCTAATATCTTTTGCAGTGAACAATTGTTTGAGTGCTATCCTAGTATCCCTATCCTAAATTATCGTAAATAATAATTATTTTCAATAATTTAATTGAAGCGCAATTTAATTGTATTAGTTTGAAATATTGCTTTTATAGATAAATGATCCGATCTTTTTAAGCTTGATGATCTTGTTCATTTATTGATTATTGGAGTTAATTTAATTCACTTTCGTCTAGGAAATTGAAAAAGAGGTAAAGAAAAAATTTTAACAATTTTAAAACGTTAAGTTGAATTATGTAATAATGCAACTAAATGGTAGCAGCATTCATGGTATTGGATAAAAGGAGTCTATTCAGCTAATTTTGTATATCTGAGCGAAGGTTGTCACTCTTGAAAAATAAATTGAACATCGCGTCACCATTGCGATGCTACCTGTTTGATGAATTTAAAATAATCTCCGTAGTCGATGTAAAAACAGCTGATATAATCTTAGCTAATGCAATCTACACTTGTCGTTAGGGTATGAAAGACTTCATGTGAAAAAATTTGTTAATCACAACATAATGGTTTTAAAATAATAGAAAGCATTGTTGAATTTTATACGATACAAGCGTTTATCTGCTCTTCGCAATTAATTAAACGTGCAATTAACGTCATTTCGCTACCGCATCAGCAACAAATAAATAAAAGATAAACTAAGTTCGCTAAGTTAAAGGAACACAACAAAAGAAAAAAATACGCACAACACAATGTCTTTGTATTGTTGACATTCGTCAAACTATTAGTATAAATTGCAGCATAATAAAAAATTTAGATAGGGGTAGTCTCATCAACTAATTCCCAAGCATATAAAGTAAGAATTTACGTGCTATGGATTCGGATACCGAACGTTTATATGATTCATCGCTTGAGAATGAGGAACAAATAATAGTAAATAATGACGCTGTCTCAGTAGCCACAAATAGTGATGGTGCACGTTCCTTTCCGGAATCTTCAATCAGTATAAAACGTAATAAGTTGTTTATTTTGGAACCTGCAGTATTTCTGGTATTCCTAGCCTTCAATTTGTCAGGTAAATATCATTAAGATGTTCATCACTGTTTAAACTTTGCTTATAGTATTCTCTTTATTCAAGGGGCTGTATTTCAAAATATATTATTGTATCAAACCTGTGTTTACGTTTACAAATACAACATAAGCGATTGTCAGCCATTATTAGGAGTTCAACGGGAGTCTGCTGAAGTACAAGTAAGTTTGCTGAAGAAAAAAACAATGTCGCACATGAAACCTGTACATATATCTATATATAGCTAGCTGCGAGTTTCTCTCACTTAAGAGTTTTTTTAACGTAACTTCAAAGATAATATATTCATAATTTACTAATCTTTTTAAGTAGGTTGATCTGATTTCTTCACATGCTTTACAAAAGCAAAAAGCAGATTTATTAATTAATGGTTAGTAAAGGAATCTTAAATAATTCATGAAAGGAAGATTTTTAGGAAATAAGATTAATAGTTATTATGCTTAATTTTGTTTTATGCTATTATTATGATTAATTTTGACCATTCGACATGTATGTATATATATGTGCGTGTGTATGTATGTGTGCAGAATAATATACACCTTTTGAAAGTGTTAGATTCAGTTTCTTTCTTATTTGTTATCAAAAATTTTCAATTTTTAATTATTATTGTTATTAGAACTTAGAAAGAAAAACTGGGGCGTGTAGATGTTAGTTTTCTCTTTGTAATTATTGAATAAAAGAGTCATCATTGATTTTTTGCTATGTTTACGAATACATATGCGAAAAATATTGTAAATCACATAATTTTTATTGTATTACGTTAAACTTTGAAACCATAACAATTCCATGTGAAAAATTGTTGATAGTACGCACTTTATTTATTATGTGGCGATGATTAATAACATTATGAATAATGAGGAAAAAATAACGAAAAAGCAAGTTCACTTCGCTTTTCTTTGAGTTTAGAGTCCAACGTAACAAAGTTCGTTTGAATGTGGACGTTGAAGCTTTGATGTGGCTTTGAATCGGTATACATGTCTGCTGTGCAGCCATTAATATAGTATTAGAAAAATATGTGCATAGAATTTTATTTTACTTTTATTGTTGAATAAGCCCTCCTCTTGAATAGTTATTTCGTATTATTATAATATATGCCTATTGTTACACCAATCAAATGCGTTTGCCCGTCTAGTTTTCTTATATTCAATCTACAGACCAAAATTTTTCAGACATCTCGATGAAACTTGGTACATTGACGTGTTTTGGCCCAAGAACGAACGCTATTGAAAATGGGTCGGATCGGATCACTTTTTCGCAAATTCTCCACCTTTAGTTCTTTAGACTTTTTTTTTCGTATTAAATCAATCGATCTTCTCCTTTCTCATGATTAATAGTCCTTCTTTAAGGAAAAAGATTCGGTTTGTAATCTTTTACAGATAATATAAAACGCCCGAAAATTCTTGAAACGTTGCGTACTTCAAGTATTTTTGAAAGGTTGAATGGAAAATGACGATGACCGTGAAAAGCCGGGTAACAATTACTAGTCTTCAGTTAAATGTTTTCTAAACTTGTTTTGTTGTGTTAATCGAATAGATGGCGTAACGCCATATTTGAAAATCACCATTCTCAATTTTTGAACATTATTAATAGTACGATAATCTTCTAAGGCTTCAAAACATAGTTTGCATGAATACTTATGCTTCCCGTAACAAGACCTATGTTACGCTCCCCTTAGTAATATGTTCTTCGCTTGTGGATCAAGAGTACATATGCGTACTATGGAACACTTAGCAGAACATGAGATAGACCCACCGTTTATTATAGCAATCGATAACATTTACGTTCGTGCCTCCTTTCGGCGGTTTTGTTTTCTTGTGTTCAACCTGCAGAACGCAATTTGTGAAATATTTTAATGGGGTATGATGCGCCGACGTGTTTGGCCCGAAGAATAATACTGTCGTACCGGAGCAGTTTTGCTACCATGTTCCATAAAACTTCTTATTTTGAAAAGTCGTTATGTGAATATCGGGAGGGTGATATAGAGTATTTAATAGTGGGCCGCGGCCCTCTTTTCAGTAGTGTAGTGTAGTGTAGTAGTTTTCAGTACTACGTTTTTTGATTTCATTAAATGTACATAGCATCTATGTAATTGCAAGTCGATTATCCCTTCTTCTGATTGTTCCTCGGTTGTCCAAGACCTCCATTTTGACACATATATTCTAATGGCCACAAGTGGAATTCGCAAGTAGGCATAACTGCACAGCAAAGTCTTCAGATTTAAAACCTAATACAACTAAGACCTAGGATCATCTGAAATTTCAAGTAAAAGGAGTTTTGCTTGACTAGCTGACCCACCAACCGCAATTAGAAAAATGTATTGTAAACTTTTTTTTGTCAGTAAGAGGTGATGAGTATAGAACACTCGCTCTAGGACGCATACAATATTTTTATACATTTTACTTTTATTAGAAAGAGCGCAGGTTAAGATCGTCGGAGGTGAATATGACAACATCTTTTGTTTAATTTTTCAAATTTCCACTTTGTAGCACATTGAAACCCAAATACAACCTTATGTGGTCAGAATATTAATGGCGATATCGCTGTTAGAAAGCATAATCCCAGCTATTGTCAGTTTATTTATAGGACCATGGTCGGATAAATACGGCAGACGGCCGATACTCTTGACTACATTTAGTGGTAATAAAAAAATAAAAAAAGTTTCTCTTACCTTTCTTAATCACAACATTTTTGCAGGTTATTTGATTAGCAGAATTATTGCAACTGTTTTAATTTATATCTCTTCAAAAGTTGTAATAAATCCATGGTTGTTTCTTCTTTGTTCAGTACCATCAGTAATGAGTGGTGGTACTTGTGCCTTAATCACCGGAATCTATTGTTACATATCGGATGTAGCTAAAGCAAAATCCCGAGCTTTAAGGTAAATGAGTTGAATAGGAATAAATAGCTAGATCTAAACGATGCATTTGTTCTTTTTCAGAATGGTTTTGAATGAAGCCAGCTTATGTGCTGGCATGATGATTGGCAATGTTTTAACTGGCTACATATATGAGGCCACTAATGCATTTACGGTGTTCAGCATATCAAGTACCTTACTTTTTTTAGCACTGTTATATGTTTATGCGTTTGTGGTGGAAAGTCTAAAGCCAGAACAAATTATGGCAGCGGGGAATGTAAATATTAATAATTCAATAAAAATTTAAATTCTTCAGAAAATTTTACTTAAAAAAATTTTCCCGTAGTCTAAAATACGTGAATTCTTCCGCCTTGACTTAGTTAAGGACTTGGTGCAAACGTGTACAAAGCGTCGTCCTAATTATGACCGCATTATTATTTGGTTAACAATGATGGCCTTAACTTTAGCTTTATTTGTAATGGGTAAGTGTCTTGCATAACAAATGCATAATTCGATTTTTTTTTAAATGATTTCATTATAGCGGGCGACGACAATGTTTCTTATTTGTTCGTGAGAAATCAATTTCAATGGACTTTAAAAGATTACACTGTTTTTAATGCCACACGTATAATCGTACAAATTATGGGCAGTATTATAGGAATGTACTTCTTGAGAAAAGCAAGTTTTACAGAGCTTGAAAACGGTTTTTTCCTTTATTTTAATTTTTATTTTTCTTTCTATGTTAAGATGTTCCAATTCTCCATTGTTGGAATGACTTTAATCTCTTTAGCCAGTTGTGTTTTCGAAAGCACTGTTCGTGCTACCGCAATATATTGGTGGGAATTATATTTAGGTTTAACTTTAGGCCTTATGCGAGGTGTTATGGGTCCAATGTCACGGGCCATACTGTCACATGTAGCTCCGGCTACCGAAGTGGGTGAGTAAAGATTTGAAAATATTTTTCGAAGAAAAAGACAAATATGAATTTCTTCGATTTAGGGAAAATCTATGCTTTAACTACTTCACTGGAATCTTTGTCACCGCTAATATCTTCGCCTTTGTATACAATAGTATATAATGCAACATTGTCGCTTTATCCGGGCGCATTTAACTTCCTTAGTGCCGGCTTATATCTGTTATGTTATACCTTCATAGCGTAAGTTAAATGCCTAGACTCTCAACATTTTAAGCTACATAAGCTAGATGTTAGCAAGTTCAAAATAAATATCAATTTTGCAAAAGGTGAGTTTTAGGATTACATCCATGAAAAGATTTCAATTCCAATAATAAGTCTTAAGGCATTAGTATCTAATGATATCAAGGCTTTTAGCAATTTGAGCTGATGCAAAACTTTTTAGCATGAAGGCATCTTCCAAAATGTGGCTTAAAGTGTTGATACAATTATCCGCGTATACAATGATAATCTTTTCTTGCTTTTAGAATAATTTATGGCATTCAAAAATCAATGGGAGAAAACGCTACTTATCAAGCTATAGGAAGATAAGCCAAGTAAATTGTATGAGCTTTTTTATGTATATAAATAGTAATTAATTTACATAAGCTAAACAATATGTTGTATCACCTGAAAAGTGTAATAATGTTTTAATGCTTTTGCTATACAATAAAAGCTTTATATTTTAAAAAATGTTGGACTTCTGTGTTCTCGTAGATAACCGGATGCAAAAAACCGAAAATAATTCCGTTCTTAAAGATTTTAACAAAGAAACTTTGAAACTCGAGTACAATGAGTTATTTACTGTGCATGAAATGAGAGAACATTTGCTTACATGCTTTACTTTCTAAAAAGCAGACGCTGTTACCATAAAATAAATTTGTTTTTGTATTCCTCTAAATTTTAAGAATTATTTAAGCAGTTTTTTTATTTCTTAACTTGTAGCGATTCGTTAACTGTTAAGGATACTTTCGCATACAGTAACCCTAGTGTGATGTAAATACTTTTTTTAGACATATAGAGAATAGATGATAGACAATAATACTTAAAAAGTACATGTCAAGGATGCACATAATATCATAAATAATGATTAATGCTCAAAAATAAGTCAATTTTGCCCTGCACTCTTTCTATAAATCCAACCAAACACACTTTATTTTTACATCCAAAATGTACAGTAATGTAATATTTGAAGCAAATGTTTACCAAACACAGTTCAAGTTCGCTGTAAGAACTGTAAGAATCCATTTGCGATTAACCAGTTAACTGTTCTGCCGACTATACTAACCATGGAAAAAGTACAAAATTCGGTGCGGTCATTATGAGTACTAAGCAGTGATAATTTGCAGTTTAAAATGCAATTTTAGTGCAAAACTCATGTATATTCGTAAATTTAAGGTCAAATCGAAATGAATAGAATTAATAAAGGTTTATAAATAATTATTATAAAAAAGAAACCGCCTATAATATCAATCGTTTTTGGTATTTTTTGCACAATTTTGCTTGTATTTTATATCGCCAAATATCTAGATAACGACCTGATCAACAATATCAGTGAATAGATAAGTTTAGACGCTCAACAATTTGACAACAAATTAAAGTGATAAATTAGTTCATGTTTTTTTGTGGTTCGTAAGCGAAATATTTAAGTTTTTTAAATAAACATTTAAATATGGTGAATGTACTTGTTATAGTTAAATTTTGGGATGCAATTATTGTTCTGTAAACATTAATACTCTTAAAATAGAAAAATAGTTTTCACGCACGAATTGTGTAATAAGAGTTAAGCTTGACTTGATAAAAGTTCTTTAGAAGCATAGAACAATGAATATTTTTCTTATTTGTTGGCCGGTAAGATTGGATAATCTTCCTTTCCAAGCATTCAACTTAAGCGTTCATTAAGTCCAATGCAAAAATTGCAAGTTTTATTAAAAAGGAACTTTACAATACTTTATATATCATAAGTATTAAATACAATTATCATTAAAAAAAACAATCACAATAATTTTTTATATTTATTCTTTTGCTTTGTTACAATCGTTTTACTATAATTTAGATTTCTTTATTAAAAATTTTGTTCATACAATAAAATCTTTGTGTTAAAAACTAAAACTGTAACAAAAATATATTTTGATTTAAATATATAATAAATAATTCGACTTCTTGTTAATAAATATTTTAAAACAAAAACAAGAAAAAAGCAAGTAAGAAAGTTACATTCGACCGTGGCCGAATCTCGAGTACCCACCACTATGCTTATCGCATTCTACCCTTGAAGTTGTTTTATTTAATGTTCACATCGCTGGTATTATTAAAAAAAAATTAATCACGGTGTTTACCATATTCTTATTAGTATTAACCCATTTCCACACAGATGTCTTCATTTGAGAAATTTACAAAATAGTTTCAAACATTGCTTTGCCTGCGTTATGATAAAAAACTTCCAATGTTTCAACGAAATTTGAAGTCGATATCTTCATATTTACGAGCAGGAGAGCGCCGACAATACACACCACACAGACGCAGAGGGACAGACATTGCTTAATCAAGTCAGAAATTCGCGCCAATCAAAAATATACGTACTTTTTGAGTCTCGGAAGCTTCCTTTTGGGTGTTACATATATTATGGAAAAAAAACAAAATGAATATACCCCTATCCTTTAGTGGTGAGCATAAAAAAGGAACTAATTCACCAAAGTGTGCAATAATCATTTCAACACCTTCTCATAATGTTCTTTACAAATCACTTTGAAACGATAAACAAAACTGAAAAGAAAAAATAAGAGAAAAAATGAAAATTGATATAAATTTTTTTTAAATTTTTTAGCAAATTTTCGTTTTCTGTTTTGTAAAGTTGTAATTATAAACCTCTCTGAAGTGAAAAAGAATCAAAGATAAGAAATAAAACTTTTTATTAAAAAAGAGTTTTTCATTTTTTAAATCAAGCAATTTAGTTACCTCAGGCAGGTTGTAAAATGGTCGTCGAAGTGGACGAAAAACATTCTGCTGTGACATGTGATGACTTTCATTGAAAGGTTAAAGTGATAATTGAACAAACTGTGTGAGTTATAGTTTTACTTTCAATAACAATATTGAAAAACTAAAAAGCAGTAAAAGACCAATGCTGCGAAAGTTTTAAACAATGCAATTTTTGAACTTTAGACCGTAGCAATTTTCAGAGAACATACATTTTTTTTAATCTTTTTTGATGTATACTTAATCGGCCATTTAGGACAAATTTTTTACTTATGTAGTCACAGTAATGATCAGCAAGAATGATAGACACAGAAGGAAAAACCGGGAACATAATAGATAATTATGTACGAAAAGATATAAAGACCAAAAGCGTTCGTGGAGGATGCATATTTTCTTTTTATACTTATTAGGGGGAAGCTTCGAAGATCCTACAAAGCATATATATTCTTGATCAGTATCAGATTCTAAATCATTTTAAACACGTTCCTCTGTGCAAAATCCGTTGGAACTATTTTCTTGGCCGCAAAGATGAAGCTAGCTACTTCAAATTTGGCAAACCCATTGAAAGTTCTTGAACGTAGATCAGTACTGATAATGAGCCAAATCGGTCGAAGCACAGACCTACAGTGCTATGTAAACTAGGGACGCCTCTGGCTTTCAAAAGAAGAAAATATTGGTTTTTTGCTCGTTACTCATAAACTACAGCAGATAAATCTATAAAAATTTGACAGTATGCACTGTGGGGAATGCTGTAATACCTGTACAAAAATGAATTTTATAGTGCGTCATAATTTCATTTTCTTTTTCAAAACCTTTATAACACACAGAATCAAAGTTCGAAAACCCCGAACAAATTCTTGGCCAGTTTCAAATTCGTTCGCATAAGAATGTCGGACCGTTCATCTGTCCATCTGTCTGTCTATTCTATGCTCTTCCAGGACGAGTGGTTGGGAGCAATGAGAAGGACATAATTGCCGCAAAAATCTCTTTTGTCTTTGTGGAACACTTTCCGTGGATATACCTGTACACGAGCACTATACAACCCACGTCATGTAGAAGCTCGTAGTATTCTCTAGCCTGTTGCTGCATTTATCGATAATGTGTAATTTTTGATGTATTATTATCAAAACGAATAAATAATCGTACTAGGCGAAGAGGCTTATGGAGTTTACGAAAACCTTGCCTAACTGTAATGTTTCTACTTGTTTTTGAGTAGATGATTTCCCTAATAAGTAAAACTTTTGCATTTTATTAGATAAATTAGCCGAGGCGATAAGTAGATAGACTCGCGCCTGCTAAGTTCATAGACGCGGGTTCAAATCTCATTGCGGTAGTAGACTATATTTTGTAAGTAACTACATGCATGATAGTGGCATAGACTAATGTTCGCTTTGTGTGCTGTTTACTTCATTTTTGAGGCTTTTGTCTAACTGATATTGTTTTCTAAAATGTTATAGCTTAAACCTGAGACCTAAGTTCGCTTATTAGTAATTTAAGTCTACAAACGTTCTAAAACTATGGTTTTAATCGGTGATTTTCCCTATACTTGCATAATTTAAGCATTTAACCTTAAGAATGTCCGGCTGAGTGCATATTGTAGCCCATAATGAATAAGTAAATAAAGAACAAGATGACGTCTTCTAAAAAAAACAACGATATTCGGAAAAGTAAGGAGTGCACTTCCTTACAGTTAATATAGATTCAAATCGAAAGAAATATGATGATAGCAATTAATGGTGGACGCTAACACCAACTGAGGGATGTTTCCAAGTCATATCAGAAAGATCAAACATCTCCGACATTTATGATATCAAGAAGATCGTTTAACAGTCCTGACATTCCGTAAAAAATTTAATAAAGTGAATTTCGTAATTCGAATGTTAATTTCGTGATAGAAACGTTTTTTATTCGGTAGCTTTTATCGATAGTTATAAACCCACTACGCGTCACACGACGGCGAGTTGATAATTGACGCAAACATAAGAGCTACGACTGAGTTCACTCGACGTTGACAGATAAAAACTATCCCGAGATTGTCAAATATTTTATATACATTTTAAATGGTTTCGGAAGTGAGGCTCGTTTAGATTGCATTTGCATGGTGGCGATACAAGCGAAAGTTAATAATTCACAACCACAAAATTCGTTTCAATATTGTACTAATTTCTTTCAAAATGTTTCAATGCACAAAAGTTTTTGTTACTTCGATAAACATAATCTCTTGTCATTATACCCCGTTATGGTTGTGTCCCCACGTAACACGCAGAACGGCTTAAGATAGACGTACCTTTTATTATAACGATCGATTTAAAAAATGATTTTGCATCAATTTAAGCCTATCTGGCCGTTTGGTTTTTGTCTATATAATGTCTATCTATGTAAATTTACGTTCAAGCTGCAGGTCGCTATTTTAGAAATATTTCGAATAAATTTGCTACAGTAGCGCGCTTTGGGTCAAGGACGAACGCTGTAGAAAAAAAATTTGATATAAAAATAAATTCTACAAATTTTTTTATCTCACTGTAAACAAGGTTTTTCGCGAAAATTTTAACCTTATTGGGCAGAAAAGTGTAAGTTTTAATATTTTATAATGAAAATTTATCCGTAATAGTATTTTAGTATAAAAATTAACTGTTGTACATTTTAAACACGAACTTTAGTTTTTGAACCTCTTGAGCACAACCACTCTTGCGGAAAGTAAGCCTTTATTTGCGAAAAGATCTGACTTTTAATATACAATTCCATAATAGTAAGTGCATATAAAGATGGTGTAATTTTTGTGTTCTATGACAAAAGTAGGAATTGTGCTAGACAATGTGCTGTAGGGTATTTAATAATCGGCATAGCCCGACTATAATGTCTTCGCTTGTTTTGTTTTAAGTTAAATCTTGAGTAAAGTCATTGTTCGTTATATATTGTAATCTATAAACAAATAATTGCGATATTAAAATTTTTCTTTACTTACATTAAAAATATAAAAGCAATTAAATACAACGTCGCACTGACAATATTAAACAGTCCCGGAAAAGTGATTAAGGAAGCTTTATAGATCTCAGCATATAAAGGAGCAGCCACGAATGGAGCTAAACTTTGGAGAATATTTTTGATAGAGAAAATTTTTCCTGAAAATGAGGCAAATGTCAATCAAAAAATTCAAACAATTATAACTAATGCATGGCGATCGTCACGCTTGGCTAAAGTCTAAACCATAACGATAATAGTAATTTTTTTGTAAATTTTACCCAAATCTGTAGCTGGTATAATATTTGAAATTATAGTACGACACATGGGTCCTCCCATGCCTTTGAAAAATCCTAAAGCAATAGCCAAATATAAGTGCCAAGGCTCGCTGGCGATTCCCTGCACAAATGAACGTAAAACTTCGCTAGCAAATGCGAGTAAGGCTAACGTGACCACAGATAAATGGAAAAACTGAAACGTAGACAATATAAAAAGCATTTATCTTTTTAATTATTATACCATATCATTACTCACCTTGCGCAATATCAGAAAACCTATTACAGAACCAATTAAGAGCACTATATGGCTTATCGTTTCATAAAACGTAAAGTCCCTAATAGACCATTGGAACTTCTCTCGTACAAATAAATAGAAAACACCAACGATTCCATCTAAAGATTTTGCATGTAAAATAACACCAAAAGATATAAAATAAGTAAGAAAATTATATTCGGTCATGACCGAATCTTTTATACCCATCATAAAAAAGACGAAAGAAAAGGAAAAGAATTAAGTTTCCATAATATTGGTTAGACTTGGATGATATTTTAAATTTTTTGGAATAAAAGTTAAAATTTATGTTGGACATCTGTTGCAGTTTGCGAGTAACGGGCAAAACCCACGGGAAGCAAAGCTATTCACATTTTTTGTTGCATAGGCGTGTTGACGTGTCCTTTGACCGTTTTTCGTTATCTTCAAATTCTTTTGCAAATTTGTGGGAGATGTGCTCGTTTTTGCAAATGGATAATGTTTACGCTTTCTACTAGATTTACTAGAATTCTAATAGATTTACTTGCTGCAGTTTATGAGTAGTGGGTAAAAATTATTCTTTTATTTCTTTCGAAAAACGAAATGTTTTCTCATTTACCTGTCCTTCGACCGATTTGCCTCATTTTCAACTTGCGCGCTATGTTTCTTCCAAATTTGAAGTCGATAATTTTAGGTTTACGGTCAGGAGAATCTTTACACAGATGAACAGATAGACGATATACACATTGTAGGGTTTCTAAAGCTACCCTCTGGATGGGTATAAAAGGCTTTCGCAGAATATACATATTTGTATGAAAAAAATTCTCATAATTACCCCACACAAAATACGACAAAAATATGGTCCCCGTTATTAATATAATAATAGTGCGATCGTAACAGGGGCGTTTCTTGAAAGAAGTAATCCACATATCCTTGACATGAACATAACTAAATAAACTGGCCGCTTTTTTCTTATCGTTATCTTTAATGCTTTTCTTTGTGTCGCAATCGCCATCGATACCATTACATTCCATTTTATCCAATTTTATTTCTTGAAAATCTTCATATCCCTTTTCATCCACACGAAATG